GGGACTATACCCTCAGAATCCTGAATCACCAATTCAAAAGAACCTATGCACCCCAATGTTCATAGCAGCATTATTTACAATAGACAAGTGTTGGTAACAGGCTAAGTGCCCATCAGTAAATGACTCGGTCAAAAAACTGTGGTACATATACACAATGGAATACTCCACAGCAGAAAGAAAGAAGGAGCTCCTACCTTTTGTGACAGCATGGAAACAACTGGAGAATATTATCCTAAGTGAAATAATCCAGGCAGTGAAAAACATACCATGTGATCTCACCTATAAGAGGAATCTAATGAACAACATAAACTAATGAACAAAATAGAACCATAGGAATGGAAAGATGAAACAGACTGAAAGTGACCAGAGTGGAAGGAGAAGAGGGATAATGGGGTAAAGAAGGGGAAAGAAATAGACAAGGAACATATATTAAAAAACCCAACGACAGGGTCAATGGGGTATGGATTGACGGTGGGAATGCAGGGGTGGGGAACAGAGCAGGGGAGAGCAAGAGGTGAGGAAAATTGGGACAACTATAATTGAACAATGATAAAAAAAGAGTAAGTGTTGTTTCAGTTAACAGCTGAACCCTTATATAATTGCATACTATATTTTCAGGAGGCAGATATTTCACCTCCCTCTCAGTCATTCCAACCCTTAAACAGAAAGCGTGAAGGACTAGGATTCCCCATGGAAAACGGTTTGGGCATGTCCAGGAATAACCAATGAGGGACCCTAAAGCTTACTAGTGGTATGTAACTAGGATCCACAAAAGCACATTGGGTTGATTTCATGAGTATTTTTGCCATCTTTTGTTCATATTATCCCTGATGTCACTCGAGTGAGTCAGTACCTTGAAGACCTCAGAGAACCTCAGAGTGAATTTTAGGAAGCACCATTACTCCTGTGATAATGCAGAGTTAGCTAATACTCCCACTTTGGGGTTTTGAGGAAACTTATGCTTCTGAGAAATAGTCTGTGGTAAACCCAGTATGAGATTACCCTTGAATCTCTTACAAGACACAAATTCCATGGATAATATCCAGTCTTCCCACAATTCTGAGGGCTGGCCACACCTTTATTTATTCTGTGGCCAGTGTGTTGGAAGAGGCTGAGACTAGGAAGGCTTCTGCAGGCATTTCAAATCCTGTGATTCTGGACACTGTGAATCAAACAAAGAGCTACTCTAGAAAGGCCAAAGCACCTAAAATTAGAGCAAGACAGCCAACCTGAATCTCCTCCTGCATTCCTCATCTTATCACCTACCAAAACCAGAATCCTGAGAGGCCCACTTAACCTGTTTCTTTCCCTCACTGCCTAAATGAAAGCAATCCCAAAGGCTTGTTGATCAGCTCTGGTATCTATTCCCACCTCATGAATTTCACTGCCATCGCTGTATTTCAGGCCACCACTAATATTCACCCAGATGAGGGCAACAGCCTCTAATTAAATCTCCCACCCCACACTCTCTCATCTCTCGCAGTCCATTCTCCATACTGCAGCCAAACCTCTAATCAGACCAGTCACTTGTTGGAAACCATTCGGTAATGTCCCATTCAGTGGCTTTGGTTCACCCAACCTTATATATCATAAAATTATTTAATCAGGCAAGACTTGGCTTCTTGTTTAAGATTCAGGAAAAAGTCACAAATTACCTTGGTTTCAACTGAAGAAGGAAGAATTTTAAATCATTCATCGTAAACATAAATGAAGCTCTCATACTCAGTTGAATATATTGCTCGATTTTTTTTTAAATCTACGTACACTAACGATTGAACTTTTATTGCAGCGTTGTTTGTAGAAGAGGAAGTCATTTGGACACACACAGTACCCAGCCCAAAGAAAGATACCCGAAAGATTATTGTAAAACCAATGCAAGGAACGCCACTCAGCCTTAATAAAGAAAGCATTAGAATGACAGTTTCAGGAAATGGTGTTTTGTTAATTAGAAAAAAAGAATAAAATGAAAATTGTGTGTAGAATGATCCAAATTTTATAAATGTAACAAAGCATATCTATGAAGGTATACCCAGAAACTCTATTCATAGATGGTGATCCTAGATATCCAGGCACATGTTTAAGAAGACAGGTACAAAAATACAAATTATTTGTTTTGTAAAAATGGAATTGGCAAAATTGATGATCGCGAGAAAGGTAAATTCCAAGTACTAAAAAAAATCATAACGAATTTTAAATGAGCTAGAGCTACATTTAATAACTCAGTTAAACATCAGGTGAAAAGAGTGAAAGGAATTAAGAACTACAAATTGCCAGTTACAAAAATAGTCACAGGGATGTAAAGTACAACAAAGTGAATGTATTCAATAACACTGTTGTAACTATGTATGGCGTCAGGGTTATCTGACAAATATTTTGTAAGGTGGATAAATGTCTCATAACTATGTTGTACATCTGAAACCAGTATGATATTGTATGTCATCTGTAATTGGAAAACAAATTAATTTAAAACATGAATATAAAAATAAATCCACTCAAAAAATCATATACAATATTTATAGACACAGAAATGGCTCCTATCCTCAGTCAGCTGGTTGGTGAGCAGAGGCAATGCAGCAACAAGCATGCACTGCCCCAGACTGGATTATGACTAGGCTTCCCCAACAGGAGGCATCGGTAACCTCTGGATATAAAGAACATTGCAGTTAGAATGTGACTGTTGGGAAGAAAATTCATTTCCTCATTATATTCCCATAAAATCCCATCAGGATGGAGAAGCTATTTGAAATAACAGGTAATTTTGCAGTCCTCTAGGCACACAGATTTACAAAGAGCAAACATAAAACAAATATCTAACCGCCGCCCCCCTCCCCCCCCCCAAAAAAAAAGCTGAACTCAAAAGAATCTGCTCTAACCCAGAGTCACTGGTATGTGCTGTTAAATTCCCAGAGAGCTTCACAACAAATCTGAAAGACAAGACTGGAGCTATTAGACTTCTCTGTTTTTGTTTTTTTTTTGTCTTTTGCAGAGGACAGAGAGGCTAGGAAAATAATCAAGGTCAAAGAGTTTGTAAGTGACACAGGCTGGGCCAAAATTCACATTCCTAGGTCTGAGTTCAGCACCCATGCCTCTATACGAGGCATCCCCCTTCTACACAGGTATAGAGGACTTGGCCTCGTTTGGTGCAGTTCAGCTGGCCATTCTGCTTTCCAAACAGTTTACATTGCCCCACCCAAGAATTAGTTTGCCAAGCGTAAAACTTATTCCAGAAACTCTACCAGGGGCTGGGAGACATCAACGGGCTAGACAAGAATTTTTTTCCTCAGTGGGATTACTCTTGAGTCCTGACAAGCAAGCGTTTAATTTTTTGCAGCAAAATTGGTAAAGAGTATTCACTTGCTTTTAACATGTTAAAAGCTAAAAACATGTGCAAAATCTTTTCCATCATGTATTCCTCCCATGTGCATTTGATAAACGCCACTCTCACACGTTGCTGAAAGTCCTTGAGTGGCAAAGGCTGTTCTTCCTGTGTGATAAGTGCTTTTCACTCATTATCTTATTTAATTCTCACAATCCTGTGAGACCAGCTCTTTAATTGACCTCACGTTAAAGATGAGGAAAGGGAGGCTCACAAGCAGATAAAAATAGAAACAGACTGACCCTGCTAGAGAGGAGGAATTTGAAGAGCTGGGTGAAAAAGGTGAAAGGATTAAGCAAAACAAAAACCAAAAACCAAAAAACAAACACCTCACAGACACAGACAACAGTATGATGATTCCCAGAGGGAAAGGAGGGTGGGAAGAAGTGGAAGAGGGTAAAGGCAGGATAAATGGTGATGGAAGGAGACTTACCTCTGGGTAGTGAACACACAATACAATATACAGATGATGAATTATAGAATTATACACTTGAAACCTATATAATTTTATTAGCCAATGTCACTCAAATAAATTCAATAAACTTTTTTAAAGAAAGAAAATTTTTAAAGAAAAATTTCTTTAGAACTTTTTAAAACAAAGTGTTTAGTGCTTGCCCTAAACACTCCTTTCTCAAGAGAGCAAAAATTGATTCACTGCCCTTTTGATCAAACCAAGACGAGCTTTAGGGGCAGAAAGGCCTGTGAGCAGGCAGATGTAATTTAGATACTCGGTGGAGCTGAGAGGAAAGGCAATTCAGGCAGTGGAAACAGTGAGCAAAAACCTGGAGTGGAGAAAGTTCAGAATATGCTCCGAATTACATTCAGATTATCGAAAGAAAGAAAGAAAGAAGTAAAATAAATCAGGTATTTGGATAGACCGGAGCCTAGGAACCTCAGAGCCAACCTACACTTTTCCACCCTCTCCCATTTTCTTTCACCCAGACTCTAAAGCCTGTCAATCATCACCCTTAAAATGCCTTTCTGCCTCCCCATCGCCATGGCAACCACTTTAAGGCTCATTTTCATTCCCTCTTTCCTCTTATTCTAATTGCCTCCTAAGTGACCTGCCAGACAATAGTCTGCTCCTCTGTAAGGCTGTACAAATGCAAGTCCCATCCAGTCAGTGCCCTTTTTAATAAGCCCGTGAATATATAGCATTTTAAAGGCTCTGCACCTCTTGCATACTCTTCGCTTTTGCCGTTCCATCTCCTCTTGTCCGGCACTTCAGCTATGGGCATCAAATCTGGGTCCTCGATGGGCCCAAGAATTGAGTAGTATACACAGGAATTTCTTCTGAAAATATGGCGAATATGCTGTGTAAACCAAGACAGGAAAGGAGAGCTGGGACTAGCTGATTCTTTCCACGCCCCCTCCCTACCACCACACAAACACACCCAGCCTGCCTTCCGGGGAAATGGAGAAAGAGACACATTCTTTCCCAAGACCCAAGAGCAAATCTTGTACTGGACTGAAAAATACAGGAATCCTATGCATTTCTTCTCTGCATATCCCTGACCTTGCCAATCCCTAGCCGTCGTTTGGACTTAAGTCCCACCCCTGCAGCGACCAGCCCCTTTTCCTATGTGACAGCGGAAATCTGGATGAAGAAACCACCCACTTCCTTTTGAGAGTTACGGGAGTGCGTGGCAGGCGAGGCGGAGCCAAATTCTTCTGCTGAGCATTCTCGCGCGGTTGCAGTTGGGGCCAATGCAGGTGGGGGTTGCTCCTGCAAGTCAGTTTGTGTGGGAGTGAGCGCTGTAGCTGAGAACGGCTGGCTTTTTGCTGCAAAGATTGTATTGACTTTGGTGGCTTTGACAGTAGACTCTTCTTAAGGTAGAGATAGTAGCTTTCTGCAGAGGTTATAGGCATCTTTCCCTAAGATTGCTGTAGGCTCAACGTCCCTAGGAAGAGACATGCCACGGGGACGAAAGAGTAGGCGCCGCCGTAACGCAAGGGCCGCGGAAGAGAACCGCAACAATCGTAAGATACAGGCCTCAGAAGCTTCAGAGACCCCAATGGCTGCCTCTGTGGGCCCGAGCACCCCCGAGGACGATCTTAGCGGCCCGGAGGAAAACCCGAGCACTCCAGAGGAGGCCTCCACCACCCCTGAGGAACCCTCCAGTATGGCTGAAGCGCAAAAGACCTCTGTAGCCCGGAGCAATTTTCAAGGTACCAAAAAAAGTCTCCTGATGTCCATATTAGCCCTCATTTTCATCATGGGCAACAGCGCCAAGGAGGCTCTGGTCTGGAAGGTGCTGGGGAAGTTGGGGATGCAGCCTGGCCGGCAACACAGCATCTTTGGCGATCCAAAGAAGGTTGTCACAGAAGAGTTTGTGCGCAGAGGGTACCTGATTTATAAGCCGGTGCCCCGTAGCAGTCCCGTAGAGTATGAATTCTTCTGGGGACCTCGAGCACACGTGGAATCCAGCAAGCTGAAAGTCATGCATTTTGTGGCAAGGGTTCGTAACCGATGCTCCAAGGACTGGCCTTGTAATTACGATTGGGATTCAGATGATGATGCAGAAGTTGAGGCTATCCTCAATTCAGGTGCTGGAGGTTACTCTGCCCCTTAGGGAAATCTGGTGCAGACCCTTGGGGAGAGGTGTTGTAAAGAGCTTCATGGGTACCCCAAGGAGTAGATCACTTGGGTTCTCAGTTCAATATTATGGTCAAGGGGGTACACTGTGTTTAGTATTTGTGATCAGTGCTACTAGTTTAACTACAAAATAGAGCGTTTGTTTTAGATATTGTAAAATTTTATTAATTTTAATATAGTATTGATTAAGGTCACAATATGTTTAAAATATTTGAAGAAAAGATATTTTTCTCCTTTTTCCTGTTACTGAGATTTAGTATAACACTTTTGCTATTGCTATAAAATGAATTCTTTCCATTATATTCTGTGCTGTGGTGCCTATTTTATATCACTGACTAGGCTGTTCTTTGAAACTGTAATAACCAGTAAAATGTGAAAGGAGGGTGGGGGAATCATTTACATCTGACTTTTCTGAAAACCTTTGTGTGTGCTGTTGTGTAAAGAAGACTTAAAACTACCATGACTTTGTTTAGTTACTACAAAATATAGGGGGAAAATAAAAGCATAATAACGAAGACACCTTGTTCATTTATTGACCACCAGGTATGTGTGAAGCACCAGTGTACATTCTGAAAATGCTCCTTAGCACACAGCCCTCAGTACTAAAGAATGTCCTAGATTACAAGGGAGACACAAATGTGTAAACTGGCAGTGTGGTAAGTGCTGTAGCAGGAATGAGCACGGGGTGCCACGAAAATAGAGAAAAGCAAACGGGACCTGCCTTGGGGTTGGGACAAGAAAGAGGACATCGTAGGGTGCTATGACAAACCAAGGGATGCTTGAGTAAGCTTGGGGGGATTTGAAGGGGCATCAGAGCATGCTATGGAAATATTGCCTATTAGGTATTTCTGAATACTTCACCCAGCTTGGGGGAGGGGCCATGGGCAAGGGGAAGGGAAAATCAGGGTGCAGTGGAAATAGAAAACACACCCAAATCAGCTTGACAGGCGGGCAGAGGAGATGGGTGGTGGCAGGTAAGAGGAAGGACATGGTGAGGCACGACAGAAATTCAAAAGGTGTGACTGTGAGAAAATTCTTGGTGATGTGACAGGGGGTCTGAAAATACTCCTGGAGTAGGGGCAGAGAGTAAAGAGGGAGACAGACACAAAAGGCAAAAGGCGGCACGGACTTCAGAGGAAGGGCGTCCTTCGCTGAACCATTAAGGTTATGTCAAGGGAAGTGGAGAGAAAGAAATGAGACGACGGGGAAGAGGTGAGCAGGGTCTAGAACATCAGAGGGTGGGAGTCATGGCTGCGTATAATGAGAACACAAATGGTTAATAAAAATGAAAATCCTGGAATAAGAAAAATGGCTCCTCCCAGCAAAGCACAGACGGAGTCTTGGATGAGGCAGAGACAATACTTGAAAAGGTGGGCCATCTCTGAAAGGTAACCTGGCATTTCTGTCAGGAATGTCAGGTTTGTGAGGGTGTACAAATTGTTGTAAAAGTGCAGTGTGTGTGTGTCCAGGGGGTAGGGCAGAATTAGCACTTTGTCTCCTTCAGCCAGTGTGGTACATACAGGGGGCTGTCTGGCAGGGTGGTGGTCCATGGCATATACTAAGTCATGTGGCATCAGGTTTCTTCCCACTTCACTGTACCAAGGAGTAGTCAATGCATTCGTTCTCACCTCACGGTACCTAGGAGTTCCATGCCCTTCCCATCCATTCTATCACCAGGGCCTTTGGAAGACTCTGCCTCGCCCTGCCGCAAGTGTGGGGATGTGGGAGTCATCCCTCGCACTCGATTCGGCTACAGGCAAGGAACACACGCAGGGATCCCTGGACACCCCCAGACTGACCGCATTCAGCTCTGGAATCAACACTTGCTGAACTAAGTGCACTCAGTAGGAAACACCAAGGAAGGGTACCTCCCCTAGCTTCGTGGGGCTCAGAGGAGCAGCTGTCCCATGCAAAAGAGTGGCCAGGGTACTCTGCTTCCAGCCTTGGGCAAGGTAAAGTCCCCCGGGGGCCAGGGATGGCTAACAAATGACTCTGGCAAAGGCTCAGAGACCCATAGCCATACAAGCCTGCGAGTAAAGGAGGCTACACACAGAAGTAGGAACTACGACCTCTCAGCAGCTTCCAACCCATTCAGCCACCAAGAAAACAGAGAAAGCCTTCTATGATTCAGGCAGAGTGACAGAAGCTGGGCTGCAAAAAATCAAAAGGACCATGTCTGGCCCTGCGGGGGCCATATTTGTCAATACCACCTCCAGAGGTAGTCAGGTGTGAATCTGAGGCTGAGGTCACCCAGGGGCTTTCCTGACTAGGGCCCCGGGGCGGGGGGGGGGGGCAACGGACCTCTCCTAGACAAGACCCTGAGTGCATTCCATGCAAATCCAGAGGGCTTTCCTATAGGCCAGCCTGCGGTCCCTCTCTGCCTGCCAGTGAACTCACAGGGTCTCTGTTTTCAAAAGACACTGGTGAAGGCAGTGGCACAGGTCTCAGTAAGCCCCACTGCAGCCTCAAGCCCTCTGGGGGACAAGGCTGACTTTCAATTCTGCCCCTTTCATAGGAAGAGGCTCATCATAGAAGTCAGACCCCTCCAGCACAGTCACTTAGGAAGTAAGTGAGAGGCCTACACACCAGGGATGCGGTGAGCCTCTCCCCTGTCCCGAGGTCCTGCCACATACTATTTTCTGCCAGGTCAGTAACATTACACCCCTTTCCCCGCAATTTACAGGAGGCACCAGCTAGCTCAGGGGAAGAAATAATGTCCTTCTAGAACCTGTCAGAAGCCATGTTTTCTTTGGCTCTGGTGGGGAATATCTGTCCAGTGGTCTAGAATGGTTATTTGCTAGTGGGAGTCCAAAAGCTTAATCCAGGTAGAGAACCAGCACAAAGGGAGAAAGGCTGGGAGAAGATGCCAAGCTGCACTGTAAAGCGATGGCTGCTGGAACTGGGAGGGCTTCAGGCGGGAAGCTCCACAGAGCAGCACAAAGGACTGGGTGGCCTGGCCTGACCCAGCCAGAAAGCAATCCGTGCCCCAGGCTCATTCTCCCCCTACCCCCTGGCCTGGAGGTTTAGTGTCTCCCACCCCCTCCCCAGCCCCAGCACACTGAACTGGTAGTGCAAACAGTTAACTTTCATTTGATTAGCTCAGGACTAAACAAGGGCTGGCTTTCCAGTGGCCATAAAATGGATGACGGGGCCCAGGGAGAGGCAGATAAAGGGGCTTGGGGAAGGCGGCGAGAGGAAGAACATTCATTGTTTCTCTTCCATAAATCCTTGGAGCTTTGTGCAGTACCTAGCAGGGACACCTGCTGGCCTCAGGCAGGGAGCCTCTTGCTGTGGAAATCAGCAACCTAAGCTGCCCCCACCCACCACCCAGCAGTTTCCACAAAGTGAGTTGAAAAGCTGCAGTTTTCCTTGGCCAGCATTCCTCCTGAGCAAATGGAGTTTCTGGGTCCTAGAGCCCCCCAGGTGTTTAGGAAGCTCAGGAATACAGAGCCCTGAAGTCCCCAGTGCATAGCAAGACTGGCAGCTGCCATTTGCTGCTTGCCTAAATTGTGCCAGACACTTTGATGGCTGTTTTCACGCATTGTCCCTAACTTTTGCAGCAGTCCGGCACAGTAGGCCCCACCAGGCCAAGTTTGCAGAGGACGAAACTCAGGGTCAGATGACAGAAGCAGGTGGCTAGCGTCACCTGGTTGGTCCCTGAAGCCTTGGACATGAACTCGGGGCCAACCAAGCCTGAAGCCAGCACTCTTTTACGAAGACAGCAGGCTGCATCACCAGGACCCCTGGGGCTCCTCCCAGCCTTTAGGAAGACTTCTGCCTTCAAACTCCACCGCCACCCAGGGTCCAAGTGAGAAAGAGCATGCTGGGCTGGGGTGCGGAGGCTTGGGAAAACAAAGTTAGTGATCCATGCGGGGATTACATGTGCATGTCCCTTCACACTGATCTGTCCCAGGCCTCACCACCAGGTATCCTTGAGGGGTTGCTATGTGTGGGGCCAGAATTTCCTTGCAAGACGAGTGTGTCTCTCCTGTCATGGCACATTGCCCAGAAACTTGGCCACCCTGAACACTCCACCAGTCCTCGAATTCTGGGCCCCGGCTATCGCACAGCGGATCAACTGCACAGCAAACTCTCTGGGCCTGTGACATTGTCCGCTGGTCACATTTTCGATCCAGAAGGTACCAGGGGCCAGCAGAGAGCTTACCTTGGGCCAGGTAGAGTGCCTGCGGCAAGACGCGGGCCCTGAGCAGTGGGTATCAAAAAGATAGGCTGAGGGGTGTCTTCCTGGGGCCCATCGTTGTGGCCTTGGCCTTAGCAGTCAGGGGCAGAGTGGACCTTAGCCCTGGTGAAGGGCAGGTTTGGATTCTGCCTGGGCCTACTCGGCCACTCCTGTGAGGTGGGTAGTGGCCAGGATCCCTCCGTCTCCTCGTTTTGGCAGAAGCACAGAAATGCAGCTTTCTGAAGGAGATGACTTTGCCATAGCGGTGGTGTTGGAGAATAGCGCTAGGTATGAAGGTGTGCCGAGCTCCGTATTCAGGTTACTCCAGGGCTTAGAATCCGTGAGACAGTTAAACACCAAAGAGCATCAAAGAAGAATAACGCCTTGGTGGAGCCATCCAAGGCTCAGAGGAAAGGCTGTGGAGGAAAAGTGGACCCTGGGCCTGTATCGCCCAGCAGGCATGACGCTCACACAGGGGAGTGTAACGTGGAAGGTGGAGCCCATAGCTAGCTGGTGAAAGTCAGGCCTGGTCCTCGACGGGTCACATTCTGCCTTGGCTTGTGACCAATGGAAGACATCCTTGCAAATGTCAGCACAAAGGAAGCGATACGTGAGAAGTGCCTGAAATCCCCCCTGTAACTCTGACCAAGGAGGCTCTTGATTCATTCTTGGCCTGCAAAGTCTCCAAAATAGCTGGGTCCACGTTATTTTGGATTTTGAGATTATCTAACAAGCCACCCATTCACTCATTCGACACGGGTTTTCAAAGGTCTATTTGTGCCTGCCAGTCACGGTTCCCGTTGCCTGGGAAACGTATATGAACAGATCGCAAGCTCCGTTGCATGGGAACAGCAAATAAAAGGTAAACCTTTTCAACACCAAATGACACAGGGCCTTAGAAGGTGGCGAGCACTCTGGTTGGTTGCAGTGGGAGTAGTAAGGCCGCAGAACACAGAGAAAGGTGCGCTGGAAATCCCAGGAGAGAAAGGGAGTGCTAACTTCAAAGCTAAAGGGTGGTCGGGGTGGTCCTCACTGGAGGGGGGGCACTTCAGCTAAGAAAGGAAGAAGGTGAGGGGGTTCACTTTACTGCTATATCAAGGAAATAGTGTTCAGGCAGAAGCACCAGTGAGTGCCAAGGCTCCATGGCCCAGATGCATCAGGTTTGAGGAATGGTGGAGAGGCCGGCGTGACAGACGTGGTGTGAGCAAACAGGACCAGAGATGCAGATGAGGTCAAAGCGATGAACAGAGTCGCAGGTTATGTTGGGCCTCATAGGCCATTTTAAGAAACTTGGCTTCTGATGGCAAGGGAGTGTA